ATTTTTTTTCCTACAGTTTCTTGTATTTTCTTAATTTTAATGATTTACTGCTGCATTGTTGATAAATGAATCCTTGCGCTTTTTAACACGTGATGAATAATTATTTTTCCATGTTGACTGTTCGATAGCTCTCGTTGTAATTGTTTAATTTAAATTTATGAAAATCTTATAGTAATTCACTCACCAATATCATTGGATCATGTTTTTACTGTTTATGAATAAAACGTCTCCAGGAAACAAAGAGCTTCAGATAAAATAATACAGAAAGAAGTTAATAGAAAAGCAAAGTTGTGTACATTGTTTTGTTTTTTTTCCTAAATGAATAAACATATACATATATGTAACGTAAGTAGAGTGAGCAAGTGAAAATGAAAAAAAAAAAAAAAACGAAGATATCGACAACATATCAGCGAAATCTTGTAAGCTTCATTCTTACTGTTCTTTTTTTTTTTATTCATTGGATATTTACAACTATACTAAAAAAAAAAAAAAAAAAAAAAATAATAAATCCAGTAAATGTGCACTCAGAAATATAATAACTTGAAAACGCTTGTTCGGGAACTAACCTTCGGTACCACTCAAATAATAAATTTTCACAAGAAAGTCACGAGGACATCTTCTTTTCAGACGCCTTGGAGGGTTATTAGGAATCGAGGATGAAGCAAGGTTTGAAACGAGAGGATTCCGATGGTTCTGAAGTTTGTTATGGAAGGATAGGTATATGGATAGGACCAAATCGGAAACATGTGTAACATTGAGGCCGTTATGAATGATTTTATTTGTGACAAAATAAGGAGCGTTGAGGATTTTACGAAGGATTTAGGATTGTAAGGATAGGATACCAGAATGATTCGATGGTTTAGTGGAGCCCCAAAGCTTAGTTCCGTAAGTCCAAATAGGTTTTATTATTGTCATATTTTCTATTTCTATTCTATTGTCATATTATAGTCTTTTGTAATTGATTGAAAACTTAGAGCGTTTGTCTAGTAAGTGCTGGGGTAGTCGGAAACGTCGAGCGGTTTCTTGGCGTTTCAGTCTTGTATGAGGGTTCAATGTGTGTCGTTTATGTATGTAGTGAATTAAAACTACATCTCTGTCTCAAACCTTTTCGTTTTTCTTCAAGTTCAAAGTCCGCGTCCATTACATGGAGGATGCTTCCTCATCAATTTTCTTTATGTAGCTTTTTGAACTTTAAAGTTTATTTAAATTTATATAATTCTAAAAAAATTATAATGATTTATTTATACTTGCACTAGTTCAATTGCTACTCTCTCCCCTCCCTCACAGCACCCCAGCGGACCTGCTCTATAGGAAGCGGCTGGTCCAGTGGGGTCGCTCCGGATGGCCCAGTCAATGGGCCGTGGACAGTACTGGATATGGTAGAACAGGTCCTTCCCTATCCATCAACCACTGTCCACACATCCTTTGACTCCGGGTGGATCCCAGGAGAGACTCTTTGAATTATTGTCATAGAGGAGTTTAAAGGGAACCTTAAGGAAAGTTTCAGTTGATCCAATTAAATGTCAAAGTCAGGTACAAAAGAATCGCAGTAATCTGTATCTCAGATCGCTTCTGTAATCTCAAATCATTGAATAATTCTATGCAGGGTGCTGGTTAGAATCCAGTTCTTGGTACCATATATCTAAACTGTCTGTATCATAGTGTTGAACACTCATGATTTGTTCAGGGAGAATTGTGCGGTTTTTAATGGCCCAAAATGATTCATTCTGAAACAGTCTTTGTAAAAAATTTTGATGTGTATTTATTTGGTTTACCGATCTCCAATAACTCGGCAACTTTGACAAAACATTATGGTTACATCAAAGATGCAGCTTATGAAGGATACTGTTTATAAAATTAAAAATACATTTTTCTCTTTTCCTTCTTCATATATAACTTGAAGATTATTAGCTGGAAGAGACAAAGAGATGTCAACCGTTACAGTCTCCGAAGCCTGGTGGGCGTGGCCCATCAACCCTTCATTTGCATCCCTCACTAATTAGAGACTGTAGCTTAGCGCCGACTCTCCAGCTTCCTCGATTTCTATTGGACAATTAGTCCCCACTCCCTGCCTTAATTAAACACCCCCGCAGCCTCCCTAAAACAGTCCCTTCTCAAAGTAATTTGCATACATTTTAACTGCCGAAAAATCGCTCTGTTGTGTCTGATATTGCCATTAAACCTGACACGTAGGGAAAATATATTAACAACCAAACTAAAATATAGTAATTAAACAATAAAAAGTAGTGGGGGAAGATGAGTCTTAGTGATTTTAATTTTCTGATTTCAAGTTCTGATGAAGCCTCTTCTGAAGATCTGAAAACCTCACTTAATCAAATAATAGCTGTGAACAAAAGAATGCTCAGCCAAAATAAATTTATATTATGCTACTTTATTTATTTATTTTTTTTAAATCATAGAACTTTGCGATATTTTATCTGAGAATGGAAACTTTTATTTAATATTTTTATAATGTCCCGTTCGGAGAAGTACACAGAATACAACAGTACACTAGTCTTAACATTTTTCAAACTATTCGTGTGATCGCTATTCGGGAAGTGAAGAAGATGGAACTTTTTATCTGCTGATATATAAAATATTTGAAAGAATTTTATAAATATTTCATTTTTGGAGGAGATTCTGAATAACTTATTTTCCAGTCGCTACTTTACATATACAAAATCATATCAGTGCAATTTTAATCCATGTTAGATATAAACTTTCAAATTTCATTTAATATCATTTGATGTACCTAAAATAAGTCTGTTGATTTAATTTGAATGATTAATTTAACTATTTAATAAAAATGCAAGTTTAAAGTAGGTAGTCTTATAAGGCGGTGGAACGGTGGAAATTATAATTTTAAATTGTCTGATCAAGTAGATTAATAAAACTGTTTATTAATTTTATTAAAATTTATTAATAAATAAAAAGATTTATATAATACAAAGCACTAAAAAAAAAAATTTAAGTTCTCATCCTCGAGGGATTTCATTGTACAATTAAAATGTATACATGTACATAGTGTACCTAATTTATTGTATACCTATATATTTATTGATACATATTATTTTCATTTTTTTCTTAAATGTACTAGTTGTTTTTTATTATTTCTATGTGTTTATTATTTTTCTGTTGCTTTATTCATTTTTTTTTTTTTTGTTTCTCTGAAACTCTAAAATCTATAATTTTGTTCTTGTGTATTATTCAAAAGAGATTGTCCAAGAATAAATAAAGAGTTTATTATTACTGTTATTTTTCAGCACCTTAAAAAGGTTTTTGAAATGAAAACATCTTTAGGCGAGTTTTGCACTTTTTTGTGGGGAATAAATTAGCCGTCAGATATCCGATGCTTAACCACGCTCCGGTATACTCGGTTGGAGTTGTTTAATTCAATCGTTTTCGCAAATGGATTAAAATATTTATAAAAATGTATATAAAAGATACAATAACTAAAAATCGGACCTGTTTATTGTTAGTGATTGAAATGCTCATCATATCATCATCTTTATAATGAGCTATTATTCAAAATTGTATCTTAACTCTACGCCTTGTTAAAAAGGTAAAATAGGAAAAAATAATGTCGAAAACCAAACTAACGAGTTTTATTCAAGATATGGATTAAAATATCTCAAAAACTAAATATCTAACCTGCATACTGTAAGCGAGGGAATTGTTCAGCATTTCATCATATTTATAATGAGCTATTATTTATAATTTATATTTTATTTTATTAATCTTGATTAGTTGATGTTTTCACTTCTATCATGCAATCTAAAGAACATAACTTAATTGTTTTTTTTTCTAGAGGGGGGGATAATCAACTCCAACCACTTTAGGTCTGTTCTACATAAGTCTTATTCAAAATTTAGAAAATTCCTGACAATCCTGGGTATTCAACAACAATTTATTATTATTATTTTATTTTATTATTAAACGGCCTTTTAAGATCATGCTAATGTCAATTTCCTTTCTCATTTTTACTTTTCTCTTCTCTCAGTATCTTCTCATCATTTCAATTTACTTTTGCTTCTTCTCTTTCGACCACGCAGTGCTCTTCCGTTTATCTTTATTTTCCACAAGGACCTTGATTTCCTTTAATTTGTTTCCGTTTGCTCCCTATCCAAGCAGTCTTTGTCAGTTGTTTTCAATTTTTCTGTTTCTTCTCTTATATGTTTTACATATCCTCTCACGCTCTTTTATTCAATGATCCAGTCAAAGATTGTCTTGTTTAATCTCCCTTGGTTCATTCATATTATGTGTGTTCTGATTCCTATTTCGATTTCTAGGTCTTTTATCTCTCTTCTGGTTGGGTCTTAACATGTAGCCTTCCTGTGTCTTCTTGGGCCGATAGATTCTCCTCAGAACCTTTCTCTCTATTTTCAGTATTTTTTCTAGCTTATGGACACATTTCTTCTCCATCCCATAAAGAATTCCTGATTTTATCACCATGTTATAATGCCTTATCTTTTGCGTTAGAAGATAGCTTCTTCTTATTATAAATATTTCCTGTTGTGGGGCTTAGTTTATGCAACTTTGACTTTCTCTTTTATACTCTCTTTTTCTAAACCGTTATTGTATATTGTCTCTCCTTAATACTTAAATTTCTTTGTTATTTTTATTTGTCCATATTTCGTTTTCTATTATTTTCTTGGAGTAGTTTTTCACTGTTGTCATAAATTTTATCTTTTGGTGAGAATTTTATAGGCCTGTTTTTTTTATTATTATTATTTAATATTTCTATTATATCCTATTATTTAAATTATTATTATTATTATTGATATTAAAAATTTATGAATAATATTTTTACTGACATTTCGTCATTCGAAATTAGTGTAATTGATTAGTCGCTAGCCGTTGCTCACGTAGCCAAAGATTAGCAATCCTAAACGGTCATGAAGAGAAGCAGAGCGGAGCTGGCAAGAGAGCTAAAGACATAGGACTGGACATGGGATGACAATTACCGAGGACTGCAATTAGCCAATGAGTAGCCATTAATATCACAAATCGTTCTCATCCTCCAGAGCATAACTAATTATCATAGGGGCAGGCGCAATCAACGGATTAATTGCGGGCTTGGGTCCTGCTCTTCCAGGTCTGCTTGGCTGCCTACCCTTAGCCTCTGCGTCGCTCTGATTATAATTATGATCCTTCGGGAGGAAGGACAGTTCCGGCCAGATGTCCTCGACAATGGCTCCTGGTCTTTTCTGTCGAGGAGGAAGTGGTCATATGTTGGCACGCTTGTTTCCTGGCTCTTTGTTTAATCTTCTTAGCTCATCTGCATCAGAATGTGTGTCCAGGATGGTCAGTCCTTCAAACATTCGTCCGTAGGTCCTTCATCAGGTGTCTGAACTATATGAATAGAAGTGAATTCGTTCTACTTCAGCTCGCAAACATAGTAGATGAAGAATACTACATTTTATTTTTCATTTGGATCATTTCATCTAAAAACATAATTTACAACAAGTATTTCAGTCCCGGCCAAGTACCTAGTCTGCCTTTGTATAAATCCAAAACTGTAAATGAATGAAATAAATTTATGTTTGATTCTTAATACAATCAGGAATTTTTCTAGAAATATATTCAATCAGTATCATTTTAAAATTATAAACGATTTTTCAATTATATTCATCTTGTTTTTTTGCTTTTCTATTCTTATGAGTGGTTGATCCGTGATAAGAGAAAAATGAGAAATTTTCACTCCCAAAATAACCATTGAGAAAACATTGCTGTTTAAAGTATATCTGCGAGTACCAATATTTGCGTATAGCTATGAATAAATTACCATTCATGAATAAATATTGGCTCACGTTGTGAGAAGTGTATCGTTGTAGATACATCAATAAAATTAATTAATTACATTGTCTATGATTACGATATAGAATACTAAAATGTTCCAGACATGAAATAATAAGAAAATTGTTTTCTAATGGTTTCTCGCAAAGACAAGGTTATATTTCTACTTAAATCAGTGGTGATCCATATGATCTCATCTTCTTAAAATATATATAGATTTATATACACTTTCGGTTTATTGCAAAAAGTCACTAAGTCTATTTTTGATATAGGTTAGCTTACAAATAGGTTTTTGTGAATTTCTACTTTATTGATACAAAAACTCAATAAGTGCATGAAAATGACACAAACCCCCTCCCCTCCTTATATATCAAATATAGTTACAATATGAGCACAACTTTCTGATTTGAGAAAGGGAATATTTTTAAATGTTCTTAATTATTTAAGTTTATGAAATGTCACTTAATGACTTTTTGCAATACACTGAATATATAATTACCTTGTTTGTGATGAATAATAAAATCGTGAAGTTTTTAATTATTGCTTTTCCTGAAAAAAAAAAAAGAAAGTTCTTTGAGGTATATGAAATAACCGATTCCATAGTTAGGTTAGATTAAGTTAAATCCAACAGTAAATTAGCAAACCAATCAGATACAAAATGTTTGTATTCCACTACTAATATTCATCAATTAAAGCTAATAATGAATATGCTTTCTATGTATTAAATATATTACAACTAAGAATTAAAATAATGAATGTGACAAGGTATAGCATGATTGAGTCGATGTAATTGACCACTTGGATTTGAAGTACACAATAGCGATAGTTTCTTGAGAAAAAAAAAACAGGCATTGTGTGAAAAAAGATGTTGAGGGTGTTGTTGGAAGCTGAGTCTTTTATTCATTCTTGACACAGTGTCCTTCCAAGACGGAGGAGGAATGTAAAGATCAACCTTCCGATGACGTGTTGTGCCGGCTAGTCCACACCGTGAGACCCTGAGCCAATGGCGAACAAGAGCCAAGGGAGACGGAGCTAAGGAACTCTACGGCGATGGAGTGAGAAAAAAAGAAAAAATAAAGGAGAAAAGAGAAAAAGAAGAAGAGGAGCTCGACGACGGTATTAAAAGAAAAAGTCATTATTCTCAGTCTGTGGAAGCGTGAAGTTTTAATATAATCCGGAGCCATTCAATCCTTCGGGAAGGTGCTCGGAAAAAAGCCGCTCTCGTGGGCGTCATAAGGGAGCCAAGGAAAATTCTTGTGATTAGGGTTTTTAAAGGGATTCTCTGCCGTGGAAAATCTGAAATGGTCTTTCCTCAACGCCCTCTCGTCTGGGGGAAAACAAAAGAGGTCCTGTAATTGGTGGGTGTCAGTCGGCCAGGATATGGGGCGGTTTAGAAGGCTTCATCCTGGACCATATTCTCCTCTTGGAGAAGGCGACAAAAACCTCTTAATAAGGTCGTTGCGGACGGTGACTATTCCAGGCCGTCTTGGGAAGAAAGAAGTGTTCAGTTGTTGATCCGGATCTAATTCTCTGCATAAAAAAAAATTCTCGGTATCTTGCGAAAAATCATTAATAAGGTATAATTTTGATGGTGATAAATTTTAAAATACTTATTCGTGAATTTCAATCATATGTGAAAGCTCATTAAATTTTCCAAAATGAAACTAATCTTATCATATGATGTAACAGATCTTTTGACCGGAAGTAATCCATCCTTTTTCTCTACTACTTTATTTATAAGACTTTATCTCAGAATGAAGTTATTATTCTATCCTATTGCAGATATTACAGTAAGTGCTTGCTCGAAGTTTTTATTTGAGAAAATTCATCAAATTACGTACTGACTTAATTTTGTAAAATGTTAATTTTAATAATGTAGAGATGGTTGACCGTTGATATGATATGAGAAGGAATTAGTCGAGGGTGCGGTCAAAAAAAAAAAAAAAATTAAAATATATAAATAATTTTAATTTTTGCCGACGTTTCGACCCACTTTGCAGGTCGTCTTCAGGGTTACAAATTTTTAATTAATGTATTTATTTATTAACTTTATTACTTTATTTATTTATTTATAAATTACAAATTTATTTATTAATTTTAATAACTTATTGTCAAGTAAGTAAAGTAACATAAATTACAACCCAAGCCAAAATGACTCAAAACCTTTATTCCATGTAGCAATAAACTATTTTTAAAGTTTGAAGGTTGTATCAAAATATAACTTGCTCATTCGTCAATAAATAGGTAAAATGAAAAAAAGTTTTATGATGAAAAGGTATATGGTTTAAAATCTTAACTATAAATAAAAGAAGTGATGAATACTTTAGTTATAGTTATTTCAAATAATAACTATTCTGATTTATTAATTGTATGACTAGTAAATAGTATTAAGTTTGTAATGTTTTTTTTTGTTTTCACAATAACGCTGATATATGGTTGTTCTTTACTAAATTTCATTTATCACGTATAACATACATTTAAAAGTAAACATATTATGTAATGATGAAAATCTATTAAACAATGTGGATACAAACAGTAAACATAACAAAACTAAGAATGATGAAAAAAAATCAAAATATAAATAAATAACGTTTGTTATTAATTAGTTTACTATAAAAATATAAATTAAAGCTGGATGAAATTAATTTGTAAAATATGACAGCAACGGAAAAATGTTTACCTACGACCAGAGGAAGATCCATAGGAGAGAGAAAAATATAATAATTAAATAAAGCAATTAATTAATTAAAATAAAAATTTTATATTTTATTAATAAATCATTTAAAAATAAATAATTGAGAAAAATAAATTAATTTGGCTGTAAAAATATATACCAACTACTACCAATACCAATACTCGTAAATGAACTGTCATTTATTAGGCAATAAGCAACCTTCTATTTCGTTAATTTGGAAAAGAAAAAATATAGCAATTATTTTTTTTTTTAATTTAAGATGATATTAAAATAATCAATATCAATTCTTGTTTATTTATAATTATTCTTTCTAAACAACTGTTCTACAAGATATTGTATTCTACAATTCTACTTTTACAATATACTTTTTTCAAATATTTTTTTATAAATATATAGATAGATGATTGCAAATCATACTGCAAAAAAAAAAAATAAAAAAAATATAAACAAAATGAAAAAAAATTAAAGTAAATAAAAATATCTAACTATATCTTCATATGTTTACTCCAATAAATTCTGAACACTTGAAAAAATATAATAATAATATAATATATATATATATATCTTTATAAAAAATTTAAATGCTCCCAAGTAAATGGTAATGTTTATATATATATATATATATATATATATATATATATATATATATATATAAACATTATATATATTTTCTGTACTTTTCACATCGGAATAGCCTGTGGTGGACCGTCTGATGTTTAATGTACTGCACAACTTCTGTCTTTTAAATTTTCATAAGGTTCCGAAATTTCTATGAGCACCCGCCATCTGTCCACATTTTCACTATTTGTAATAGGGTAAGCGCACATAGCAAAGGAAATTTTTGTTTTTTTTGGTTTATGCCACCTTAATTATTATAGTTATAAACTTCTAAGTTGGACAATTAAGATCACTAGAGTCTCCTTTTCCTATTTAACACTTTGAAATTGTAAAAGTTATGCAGGCACAATCTTCATTAAAAAAAAATACCGTTTTTTACTAGTGACGGACAACCCAAAATTCATTTGTTCTAGTGGACAATGGACAGAGGTCTCGCACCAATAATAAACATATCTCAAAAAATTCTAAAATCTTTATTTAACTATAAAGATAAGATAACATAAATGTTCAACTTATTCTTAGCAAAACTGTTAGTAGGAAGGTATGAAAAACACTGATCTCAAGACCACTATAGAAACAACAATTATAGGCATTTTAAAATTTTTTTGGGAACTTTATTCATACAGTTGTCATGACATTGATATTCAATTTAGAAACAATTGGAACCTTTAAATCAACATGGAAGCATATTATTTACATTTAAAGTCCAATCTGTCTATAACTGGTGCGTTCACCCCACATCCTATCAGTTATAAATTTATATATTTTTTATTTATATAGTATTGCAGATTTTAAAAAATGTAATTGACAAGCTGAAATTTTCTTTCTTCAAGATTTTGTTTAATGCAACCATACATACTTAATCAATGTTTAATTATTTTTAATTTATTGATAAAATCACATGTATTTAGGCTTGATACTTTTGAGATTTTAATGTTCCCTTTACCCGACGACATTAGCATCCGAATAGAAGACAGAGATGTAAGTTAATGTTGTATTGTAAAAGCATTTTGGACATGCTCCAATTCAATTTGGGGAACTCGATAGACGCCTGCCCTCCCCGGCTCTGTTAGATTCAATTTTTTTACATTTTTATTATATTCCTCCTTCCCCTCTCCTCCCCCTCCCCACTGCGTTGGCTCACAACTATTTCAACTGTCAGCGGGGAAATTGACCTCCCATTCCTCTCTACCCAATATTTGCTTTATTCTCTCAGGCATTTTCATATCTTCTTACTCCTGTTTGCTCTCTTCATATTTTTCTTATTCTCATCTTATATTCCTATGACGTAGAAAAATTATCAACCATTTCTAGTTTTGCTAAGGTGGTTATTTGAAGTTCAATGGGTACTCTTTAAAATTTAAGAAAATGTCTTTTTATCTATTATTCATTTTTAATTAACAAAATACATGTAAGTGAATAGGAAATAAAATAATAGCCTTCACTGTCTGCATATTGTATGAAACTGTGAATAATCATAGTTATCATTCAAAAACAAATTCGTAAAAATTGGTGGGTCTTTAATTATGTATTAACAAAAAAAATCTTTCTGAATTCTTATATAAGTTTATGTATTGTTAGTTCATATGAACCAACATTTTCCAGTTTCTTAATTTTCATAATTACAAAAAAGAATGCAGTTTCAGAATAGGGCCCCATCAGCAAACCATTATTTATTGCAATTTTCACTGTCAATTAATATTCACATATTCGTGCTGGAACGACAGTGTATACCAGCAATGTCTGGTAGGAGAAGAAATAAAGTGATAATTTATCTATTAAATACTTGGCATCAGCTTACTTAGTTAAGGATTAAATATAATGAATGATATTGTTTGGTTACAAGGTAATTTTTTTTCAAATTTTATTAGGTATTTAATTATTTTTTTATTGAAAAAAAAATGAATAATTCACTCTTACTTATTAACTCACTTTATATGTAATAAAACAATTTTATTTTTTCAATTTTTATTTTATTTTATAGGAACACATGTTTCGTGTTTCATCTGATCGTGTTTTACACAATTAAATTAGCATTGAAGTGTATTTTAAAAAATTTCTAATGTTGGAAACAAATCTCCCAAGCCTCAAATAAAATTAAGGAAGTTAAAAGAGCTCTGTGATTTAAAATAAAATAAGTATAAGCCTTGCATTAATGTTAAAGTAAGTTATTTTGTATCATTCGGCTAATCTGTTATTTTACTTATCTTGTATATTATTACTTTATCTTTTTATTTATATATATATATATCTTTTTTTTTTTTTCTTTCTTATCTACATATTTTGTGAATGAATACTATAGCCCTAGTACCAATGCCCTTCAGTGTGGCAGACTCTACTAATACTCAATAAAAAAAACAAAATATTGTTTTCTATACTTCACCTTAATTCCGCGATTCCTTTTGACTCGTTCTTACAATTGTGAATTTATTCTATTTCCATTTTACTGTGATTGCTACTTCATTCCCTCCTTGTCGTTATCTTTTTTATAGTGATTTTTCGGTTCTGCTAATTAGAAATAGTAAATTTTTGGATTTTACTAAAATAACCAAAGATTTTTAGTAATAAATTAAAAGCCGAGTTATGATTAATGAATTATTATTAAGTTTTATTTTATATTTGACAATGATCACAAGTTATAAAAGGAGGGAGAGAAGCTGACCAGAGAAGAGAAATGCAAGTATCGATCTGAGAACACGTGAGGCGGTCACGTGCTGACAATTAGACAGAGAGTAAAGTGGAGGGGGTAACTGCTAATCAAGAGGACCGGGCCACGTAGCAGCCTAACTCCCTTCAACCTCACACAACCTCATACAACCTCACATAACCTCGCAACCACACAACCTAGCCCTATGATTAAATTTTTTCCAACTCTGGATCTGCCGCCTTCATAACCAGAGCATCCTGCCCCGTCCGCTAAGCCCAAGGTGGTGGACATACCTCCGGGTGGCTGTCCGGCTGTTAGGGTTAGCCTTCCAGTTTCCAATGACCTGGGAAAAAAATGGAGGCATCCCGAATAGAGAGAAATTGTAATGGCGCTATAATTACGCTTTAATTTAAACCCTTCATGAGAAGTGTAAAGTAGTATAAGGAGTTAAGGTAATTCAAAGATCTGTTATTCACCTTTGGCTGAAGACAGTAAGTATAATGATGAAAATCACAGAGTCTCAGTGTTATAACTTAGAATCGAATCTTATTATAATAATAATAAGGCTTAGCGAACCCGACGGTTCGATGCCGACACCACCAATCGCTTGTTACACACCTCCCTCCACCGTTCGCCGTCCAAACCCAGTTCCTTCAGATCGGCTTTAATGCAATCTTCCCATCTTCGCTTCGGTCTACCCCTCGGACGCTTACCATTCGGCACAGCAAAGCAAATCTTGCAGGTAATGGGGTAGCAATGGTAATGGGGTAATTGTAGGTAATTAAAAATTCGGCACAGCGAATCTTATTATACATACATTTTTAGAATCACATTCTGTTATGAAGTTATTTTTATAAATTTAATTTTATAAAAATCATGGATGATAGATATCAGGATGCAGTCATTTTTAAGAATTTTTAATACCAACGTTTCAACCCAAGCTTGTGGGTCATTATCACGTCATGTTATTGAAGGTGTTCGAGTACTTGTACACCTTTAGTGTTGGTAAAATGCCCTGATGAAGACCCAAACGTTGGCAATAAATGATTTAAAGATTGGCTGGAATCCACAAACAAACTCCCGTTCTGTCTGTCAACTTTATGGTCTGTATAATCTCCAAGGACAATTCCAATCACTAGCAACTCGGAGCGAAAAACCAAAACAATATGGTTTCCTTGCATATTTAGCATATTTCCTTTAAAAGTAATCTAATTTTGTAATAGTGCATCTTAAATCAGTCCCATAACCCTTACAATTGTTTAAGTGTGTTCGAGGTTCGTGTGTAAAGCTGCTTTAAAGGCAGAACAATAGAATTCAAGTGAGGACAAATCTCTGAATTGTTTGGCGCACTTCCGTATAACTTCTAAATCACGTAATGGGGTTGAAAATTTGTATAGTGTTAATGAGATGTACCTTTTCTGTGTTAATTTTTTTTCTCATCACCGTCTTTATGAATTAATTTCGGAACCTAATTAATTATAAAATATGAAAACATATGAAAAAAAATGTTGTCCATTTTAATGGTTTTAATTGTATTAAATTTAGCTGCTTGAATGCTTCACAAGTTGAAATAATCATTGTTCAAGAAATGATATGTCTTTAAGCAATTGAAGTAGAATTACAACAACTATTAACTGAACTTTTGTTATCATTTTGTATTATTTTACCTACTTTATTATATAGTTTTATTTACCTATATTTCCTAATAATAATATTTTTAATAAAACAAAGATCTCATATGATATCTGAGAATCATTTGGGCAAATATTCGCCTAATTATATTCCAGTGAGGGGAGCAATTAAACCTCCGCTGACAACCCCATTACCTGCACTATCCGAGGGGTACAGGTACACCCATTGTCTTTAGAGTACCCGGGACTCACCCCTGTCCAACACACCCTACCGGCGATTTTTAATTCCTCCTCAGTCCGATGGGAAGGACACTGGTCTGACCGGTTTTCCATTTTTATTTCCCACTACTGTCCGTTGTTTGGACGAGTATTCGGTCATTATCATCCTGGGAATGTACCCTTTGTCTTCTTTCAGTATCTTCAGTGCCAGCCGTTATGGCGACAATAGAAGTTTAGACTATAGGATATTTAATTGTTAAATATTATAAGAGGTTCCGAATCAGGTTCCTAAAATATCCTTAATCTACTGAAGATAAAAATCATAATGACTTCAAAAGTTTGATGTATTGTAAAATTTAAAATAAATATTTATCCATACATGAAATACTGTTAACTTTGGCCAATATGTATATAATCACTCGAATTCGCATGTATAACAAATATTTTTTTTTTAATTAAAAGGACTCACGTATACATTTTTTAAAATTTTAAGGGAGTTTCCCTGCATTTGTTTTTCCCTTGGTAGTAAGAAACCTTTCGTATACTCTTCTTTCTTAGACCATTTAAAATTATTGAAGTTCATTTTAACCAAGATTGGATACCTGAGATTGTTTTCATATTAAAATTCTTTACAGAGAATGGAAAATGTGTTACTTCATATCTTTAAATAGATTTCACATTTAAAATTCAGAACTCTCGTTGTAACTTTTTGGGGTTCATTTTTTCCAGGTTTATTTCCACTAGTCAAATACGATCTGTGTTTGGAATCCGTGTCACCAAAGATTTTAGTCATTGGCAGAACTTGTTTACCAGTTAGATTATTAACACATTTAGTAAAACTGCATTAAGTAAAAGTTTTCATACTAATTAATACAATTCTTATAGGAAATTGTAGTATAATTTTGACAAAACAGTGTTATAAGGAAGATCGCCAAATCCGTCTCATGGAAAATACAGATAAATATCACCTGCTACAATGATCCTAACATACTTTTTGTTATAGCCCTTAGTACAATCATCTTTCTGACAAGCTCCATACGCACTACTCTAGAATATTGCTATCTAAAATGTTCGTTGATTCTTCTACTTCTTCGTGTTTTAGCGGACTTTTATTGGACGTTTGTCAGCTACCAATCTATAGATTTCCAAAAAGCTGTTAATATATTTTTCATTAATAGGTCAGTTAATTTCTACATGAACTAAAACACAAAAGATATGAAAGAGAAGATTTATGAAGGTCATTCTGAGTTTTTTATTTATTTTAACAATTTTTTTTTTTATTGATGATATTTACAACTGTATTACAAGTACAAATACATTCAGTAAATTTGAACAAAAGAATATAATAGCATGAAGTCACTTGTTGAGAAACTACCCACTGGTAGCACTCTAAAAATGTATTTACAAAAGGAGATCTCGAGGCCATCTTCTTTTCAGACGCCTCGGAGGGTTGTCAGGATCGAAGAGGAAGCAAGGTTAGAAACGAGAGGTTCGGATGGTTCTGAAGTTTGTTATGGAAGGATAGGTATCTGGATTGGGCCAGGGCAGAAACATAGGGAGCATTAAGGTCGTTATGGATGATTTTGTTTGTGACAAAGTAAGGAGCTGTGAGGATTTTACGAAGGATTTTAGATTGGTACTCGGTACTCCGAATAAAATTTGCCAATCTCTGTTCTGGAGTCGGGGATAGTCTTGGGGCACAGACAGTCTCTATAGATTGGGCACTCTTAGTTAAATAATTAAATAAGGAGAAATATCTGACGGTTGAGCGTGATCCTGGCCCGATCACATCCCCGCACAGCCTTGTTCATGGTACTTCCTTAAAAAGTACTTTATCCAAGACACTTCATGGGTTTGAAAGGTACAGGTTTTGAAAATTCTATTAATTATTATAGTTTATAATTAACACTTTTGATGGAGTATCAACTCTAAAAGATAACTTGCCTTACCTGCACTATCCACTCTAGTGCAGGTGCCCTCCTCATCTTCGAGGGAGCTTCCGGGTATCCAGGACTCTCCCCTGTCCAGGACACCCTACCGGGATTTTTTAATTCCTCCTCAGTCCGAGGGGAAGGACACTGGTCTGACTGGTTTTCCATTTTTATTTCCCACTAATGTCCGTTGCAAGGACAAATGCCTCGCCATTATGGTATAGTAAGGTGTCTTTTGTTTATGTCATCTTGTATCGCATGATTAGGGAGAGAACCTAAAATCGTTATTGCTACACAAAACGTTGAGAACAATCTTTGCTTAACACTAATATGGAATTCATTTATATTATATAAATTTAATTCAAAATCATAGTTGAACAAGACATAATATTAATTAAAAAAATAACCATTATTGGAGAAAATAAAACTAAAATTATCCAGTACTTTAATCATGTCGGTGCCTTTCTTATATCATAAATTTAAATTATATAGGGGTTTTATATATAAAAAGGGAGAGAAGAGAATCCTAGATGGCTATATCGTATAAATGTTCTGGGCTTCAGTAATTTGTATACAGTAATTTGTGTAAGTACTCCTAAGCCAACAAGAAAATCCACAAAAAAGAAAAGCCAATTTGTACCATTTCTAAAATAAAAAAAAAAATACATATAAATTAAATAAGGTATTGTATAGGTAACTAAAAGTTAATATAATTGCACCAAGAAATTAATTAGGCTATTAAAATTGCTTACATAAACATTCAGTCTCAACTTGTATAATCTCAATGTTCACCCTTATTGTGCGGAAGTGCAAAGCATTTTGATTTTAGATTATTGTATTAATAACTACATTATACGAAAAACAAGATATTTTATACTCAATAGAATATACATGTATTGATACTTAGTCCTTAAAAAAACTTATCTTAATGTGACAAAAATTTAATTTTATATTTAATTTTAATTATAACTTGGTTTTGTTCTGCTAGTATTTATGCGTTACGCGTTTAACATTGATTCCACCTAAGTACATATATTTTGATTTTTAAATTATTTAAAATTAGTATTTCACAATAATAGCTGTACGCTGTTACAAATAAAGTTCAAAATAGTCTAATAATATTATTTTAATTTATTTTATTTTATTCACAATAATTTATTTACTTATAATTTATCAATACAAATTTACAAATACAGTAATAGGAAATTCTTCAGCGGCCCATGAAGACACTGCTGACGTCCCCATTACCTGCACCATCCGAAGGGTACAGGTGGGCCTTATTGTCTTTAGGAGTATCCAGGACTCTCCCCTGTCCAACAGACCCTACCGGAGATTTTTAATTCCTCCTCAGTCCGAGGGGAAGGACACTGGTCTGACGGGTTTTCCATTTTTATTTCCCACTACTGTCCGTTGTTTGGACGAGTATTCGGTCATTATCATCCTGGGAATGTACCCTTTGTCTTCTTTCAGTATCTTCAGTGCCAGCCGTTATGGCGACAATAGAAGTTTAGACTATAGGATATTTAATTGTTAAATACTATAAGAGGTTCCGAATCAGGTTCCTAAAATATCCTTAATCTACTGAAGATAAAAATCATAATGACTTCAAAAGTTTGATGTATTGTAAAATTTAATTGAATTTTCGCACAGGTGGATCTACGGGAGGGGGAAGGGCTTTAGGGTTGTATCCCCTCACCCCAAAAATGGTAAAATATAACCATGTTCAAAGAAAAAAAATATCTCTAAAAATATTATTGTTCGTCAAAATATATTTAATAAGACTTAAAGAGTCATTTAAACATCATTTCATATAGGTAGTTTTTCTTCAGAAGTAATTATCCTAATATATACAACAAAAAAAAACCTTTTGGGCTGAAGCCTCCCACCAAAAATTAAATCCTGGATGCATGAGTTTTCGGAACATCCAAACTATTTTTGGTCACCAAGCTATTACCATTACTGGTTGCGTAATATAACATAAAACCGAAATGACCACAGTTTACAAATTAAAAAAGAGTCGGTGTACATTTCGCTGACCCAACTATGGATGGGTTCTTGAATTCTTGCCAAATGAGATATACCTAATTTTGGCACCCCTTCATTACTTCATCCTTACTCTTCCTCTCCATCACCCACCAAAAGATGTCAACATTTACTAAAACTATATAAGTTAATATATTTCGAAAAAAAATATCATCATCTTATAAAAGTAAGTCATTTTATTGATTAAATTATGGCCAATACAATAAAAAGGCAAAAATAAATTTTGAATCGACCCTGGGGTCGGATGACCCTCCTGTGGCCCTCCCAGCCTCTATTAATTGGGTACCTTTAGTTAAATAATTAATTAAGGGGAAAGCTTTGGCTGGTGAACGTGAACTCGACCTAATCATCTCCCTGCTCAATCTTTGGTCTTGAAACAGTAATCTTGTAATATCTTACAAATTACTGAACCCAGAATCCTTCAAGGATTGCAGAGCTACACGATTTTTTAATCTTTAACAATTTTTATTTGGTATAAAAAAATGTCTGTCTACAATTTCCGCCCTCTAAATTGAATCACGCATTCGCTCCTCCCTAGTTCTGGCCCTGTCCAGTACTCATCAAATAACATCTCAAAATAGATTAGTTTCGAGAGAAGTTTGTATTGATAGCTTATGCCAATAATGTTATATCTCAAAATAATTTTTAAATATTTGAAATTGGAATTAAGTTGTTTGGATCTTACAGTGTTTGTTAAGAATGCATGGAAATATAAACAATATGCCATTTAAAACTAAATAAAATAGACACAAATAGTAGATTCCACGATCGTGTCTTGAAGATCATCATGATCAAGACCTCAAGATATTGACTGGGGAATAAGTCTATAGGAAGTGCACACTGTATCTTAAAGTGAAATAGAGGAATGAATTCAGCGAGATAAAATTCTCAGTTAAAGGGCTGTGGTTTGGAAATAATGAAACAATCACTACAGGTAATGTCTTGTAGAGGACATTCCTTCATAAAGGAATACTTTCATGAAACTCAATGAAAAATTAATCCTTTCAGCCAATAACGTTATTGTAAATTGAAACAGTTCCATTACTTCCTCTGCTTTTTCGAAGTTCAATCGATTCTTAAACGTGTTTTCCCACCAATTTTTAAGATATGAAGAAACATCAAATTGGCTGAAAGGAGGTCTTTCAACGATTTTCATAAAAGTATTCCTTTTTTCTGAGCATGGAAGATCTATTATCTTATACCCGTTGGGAATCTTCCATCACCTCTACATCAATTTTTACCATCACCTAATCGATTCGATAGAATGTTCTCAATATTTGGTATACAATGCAATGGTCCCAAATAAATTTCTTTTGTTTTTGTTTTTAGATAATATCTGTCAACTGGTGTGAATGCTGTTTGAGTTAACAACTCAACAGAGTTGAGTAGCTATGTTGTTCTCTTTAATTTAGTTCTCTTCCTTGAAACAACAAATAGTCTAATATGCAAGCATAGCTCATCTGTTCTTTAAAAGTTGAAATAAGTAACTAGAGGAACTACGCATTGAATTCCATCTTATAAATAATATTAGATTGTAGTGAAGTAGGCATTGCCGTAACTTGGGACTTAGTGTCTATTGTTAATTGTTATATATAGGGAGATATTATTGTGAGCATCCCTTTATTAAGAGGTTTCTTATTATATGAAGCACTCTTCTTCTTATTATTCCGTCACACCCTTCTGACTAATGAAGGAGCCTATGAGACAGTTTTCCCGGACAGGGTTTCTTCATTTCTCTAATTAAATTAATCACCCCCACCCCCCTCCCCCCGGCTATATATGACCCCTCATAACCGCAGCGATATTCCCCCACATTGTTCTCGGGGGTCGGCAACGATAATGGAAAAGTGCAATTAAGGGAAGTTACAAAATGGCAATGCTTCCAACTGTTGAGAGGGACACAGTATCCGAGAGATAGTTCTTCGTCCGTGCCAACATTAATTAATAATTATAAAATATTACATAAATATAATTATTTTAATGAAAATATGTTATTAATTACTATTTCATTAATTATATTTCGTTGATTGTATTATTTGTCAACGTTGCCAAACGTTGCCAGCAGCTACAAAATACAGTGATATAATAATAAGTGATACTTCAGCTAATATACTATTCTTTTTGAAGTGTAAATTTCTTAAGGCGCGTTTTGCACTTTTTTGTGAAGAGTGAATTAGATTGATCCGTCAGATTTTAATGCTCAGGTGAAGTCGGCTAAAGTCGACTAATTGAAATTCTTTTATATATGGTTTAAAATATCTCAGAAACTAAAAATTGGGCTTACATACTGTAAGCTAGGAAATTGTTGAGCGTTTCATCCTCTCTATAATAAGCTATAGTTCAAAATTGTATCTTAACGCGAAGCCGTGTTAGAGAGACGAAAGGCGAAAAGCAAAAAATAGTGTTGAAAACTAAATGATAAGCTTAGTTGAATTGTACAATACAATATGGATTAAAATATTTCAGGTACTAAAAATCGGATCTATATACTGTCAGCGAGGGAAATGTTCAGCATTTTATTTTCTGTGTAATTAGCTGTTATTTATAATTTATATTTCATATTATTAATCCCTCCTTGCTAATGTTTTCACTTATATCGTGTGGTATGAAGCACGCACCTCAGTCTTTTTTTTTTTTTTCTTATTCTACTTTTTACTATTACAAATATACGATACTTAAGAATCAACCATACCTACATGTTTATATATACATATCTTGGTCAAGCTTTTATACAAATCTAGGAACTAATTATGTTTTATATTATCCAATTGATCTTTACTAGTTATGGGTACGAATATGTGACAAGTATTTTTTCTTTTTATTATTCTTTTAATGTATGTTTGTCTTCTTAAAATTATTTTCATTTATTATTTTTTTTACGTACATAAGTTCTTCTTATTTTATTTTTTTCCATTTGTATTTTATTTTGCATATAAATAGTATGAATGTCCAAATTTAGCTATAACACCAATACTCCTGATTGTGGCAGACTGTATTATTTTCCTTCCAATAAGATTCTTTTGAATTCTGTTCTTTACTAGTAGAAACTGGCGGATTTAAAAAATAGGAAGTAATTTTTTTAAAGTATTTTTTTTTAATGATCCATAATTGTTTCTGTGGAGCTA